GAGAGATAAAAACGTAAAAAAGGAGTAAAAAAGAGAAAATTTGAGAAAGAGAGGGAAGGGAAGTCGGGTTAGAGAGAGGTCTTGCTCCATTTCCGAATCTAGAGTTGAGAAATGTGTAAGGTACAGGTGTAATGTACGCCACTTCTTGCCACATGATTTCATATCCTCCATCCTGGTCAAAAGCAGACGAAATAATAATCCAAAATCCACAACACTCCTGGCGACTGATACATGACACTGATATAACTCGTTGTTTACAGTAAATAGATTAATGTTAGGACGAGGTAAACATTAACACCATACGAGGCCAGTTTACAACATAGGATTATTATCAATATTATATTATTAAACACCAGAGGTTTCTGTTGACGTCCAGATGACAGTATCAACGCTGGCAATAGCACGTATAAAAAAGTAATTGTATCCCCTTAATATTAGAGTTGTCATTGATCACTGTCGAGAGGTTATGGACACACAAATGAAATTCCAATCGCCTTTACCTGCTTGATGAAATTTCACATCTGCGACCTGCCGACCAGCGCCATACTGTACAAGGAGAACTCTTGCTTGAAACATAGGAAATAACTTACCGTTAAATGGTTCAGTCCATTAACTATCTAGGATACATTTTTCAATGGGCAGGGACTTGATACAAGGATGTTATGGGACAATTTAAGCACATACCAACAGCCAACACGAGGAGCGACACTACCCACACGAAGCACATCTTCACACTGACGATAAAAACCTATCAGTTCCAGTTCCAAGGCTCCGCCAGACACGGGTCCTCCTGGCGGTGTGACTATTCTTCTACCTCTCACTGTGACTATTATTTCCTCTGGTTTGATGATCCGTTTTACTTAAACTATTACATATATGTAGTCGTGACTGGTAAACAGTACGTCAGTTAAGGCAGAGTTTATATTAGTGAATTTGACAGCGAGCAAGGAAGTGTCCGTAATATTCGGAGAAACACGAAGCATTTTTCACCGTATGGAAGGGAGTGGCCAGCTCCAGGAGAAAGTCAGGTACACACACACACACTCTATATCACCCAGGCGGCTGTCAGGAACTACTTCACCAGATTTAAGAATACTTGAATCACCACTGCAGGGGAGGTTCCAAGAATATGTTCTTATGTTCTTAATATCAAAAGGGAGAGGGGGGGGGAGGTGGTCCAAGAAGTTTTGGGTGGGGGAACCTGGCAATCAAAGCGAGCTCACCCAGCTGTAAGCCCCCCAAGAAAATATTTTGAAATCTGACCAATGTCGTGGGCATTTTGGGGCCATTTTGAAGCCATGTGCACTTGACATTGAGGGATATTCTGAGGTCAATAGTAATTACTTTTTACTATACAAAAATGCCTGAGTACAATACTGCATTAAAGAAAAAGTTTTGGAAATTTCTGATGAAAAGGTGTTAGGTCCGGAGCCCTACGACCCCCTCTGGATCCGGCCTTGTCCAGAGTTAAGAATTCCTTCCGAGCTGGCGATGTAAGAGCGCTTATAAATGACTCAGTTACCCTGCTACACGTGTGTGTTGGTGTGGGGATTAGTGGATGACATCATTATGACCTGACCTCATGTTTAATAAGGTCACCCTGTATATTTAAGCCTCTCTCTGTCCATGTAATCCAGTTGCCTCTGAAGATGTCTTGAATAAAGACGAAAGCTAAGGTGCTCCGTTGTTCCCTTTTCCCCGTGTGATTTTATCAAGATTTATCTTATCCACGTTTTCATTGTGGATCTACATGAAATATATATATATATATATATATATATATATATATATATATATATATATATATATATATATATATATATATATATATATATATATATATATATATATATTAGCTGGATGACGTAATTGAAAACTAATTAAAATAAAAATATTTCAGGTTTATCGCCACCTTGACTCATGACCTCCAGACCACGAATACCTGAACTATGGCTTGACTTCCCTAAACACCTTATTGCCAGAGGGCCATAACTTTCTAAGCATCCAAAAGGAAAAAGTTCATAATTCCTTTTCGAGTGGCCATTGGGCTGACAACATACCCTTGAAATTTGTAATGATTGTTCCACCGACTTTCCGGATACAAGAAGCAGTCTATCTGTGTATATAACCAAGCAACATAAGCAAAAGAATGAAAAATGTCGTAAAATAATTTCGTTTTTTCTATGAATGTTTTCCAACAGTGAGTAATTAAGGTACCGGCGATATTATATGAAAGTCTCATGTGTGTATTACTGTCAGACACAAACCAATAAACAGATCGGCCTCAGAGTGTTTCATCACGTTTATATAACCTCCATCAGTCCCCAAACATCTTCAGTGTCAGGCTCGGGGGACGACGCCTCCCCCATTATATTTAATATTACTAGCTTGGTCTCTGTACGCCTTTTATTATTAAAAAATAAATCCTTCTTTATTACTACTATTAATCTATTTAATAAATCCTCCCAGTTATCAACAAGTTCACTCCCATTAGTATACCCAGGAAAAGGTCAGCCGGAACCTAGAGCATATATTATGTAGGTCACTGTATAGGTCAGCAGTTTGACCTCAGTGTAGTTTGTGTGCTATCACTCTCTGAGCCATACTTTGTTTGACTCCTATACTGGATGAGAGTCATGGAGGAAGTAGAGTGGAGAAGGTCATCTAGGTACTGTAGTACCCCGCCATAGCTTGGTTGTTGATTTCATTAAAGACATACACGAGTGAGCGTACATTACTTCCATATTCATACTCTCACCATAAAAACGCCTTTACAGATAAATGAACGGCAACCGTTCGCCTGGCGTTGTTTATATAACTTAGCCTTTCACCACATGAGAGCGTCACAGCCGTCAGAAGAAGGGCGGACATTGAGGGGTGTGTCACAGTGGGGGAACGTCAGTAGGCGCTGTTGAATACTTGCGCTGGCGTTGTCTTTGTGGTGCGTAGTGATGACTGATTTTTCTTTAAGTTTCTTAATTTTCCCTTACCTTAGGTAATGTGATGTTATTTATCTGTTTACTGAAGCATATGCCTCTTTATAAGTGTATTCACCTCTATATTACTCTATTTACCTGTGATGTATAGTCTGTTAAGAAATACACCAGTGAAAACATACTCATCTTTTTATTCATGTATCTCTCTATTTCTTTATCTATTTGTCATATTTCTTCTTATAAGAATCAAGAAAAACATCAGTAAAACCACATCGAAAAGACAAGATATATCGTGGACCTCACACACGGCAATACACGGTTCCCTCCTTAGTCGTGTCAAATTCCCTATCTCCCACACGAAGCGCACAGGTGTGGCCTAACTCAAGCACAAACACAGATTTCTCCTTTCATTCACTATCACACACTCTCACACATGTACTCTTTCCACTATAACAGACGTGTTCTCTAATAGTGTAGAAAAAGCTATTGAAACGTGGCCAATACTGTGTAAAACCTAAAATATAGATAAAAGTGTACAAACGAGTTGAAAGTGGATGATAATAAAAAAAAAAAGCCCAGGCATACTTATCACCGCAAGCATCGAAACCTTGGAAAACACTGTATTAAAAAAAGCAACAATTCACATACGGATCTTGTTTACCCCAAAAAGTTAATACATAGAAAAAAAAAAAAACACACAACCCCAAAAATAAATATCAAACATGAATTGTAATGCGAACAAAAGCTGATGAGTTTTTCTATTGCTTTCCACCAACACCTCCCTCTGCTGGACCTACTGTGGCACAGACACGCCGCATCATTTACACAGTCTGTACAGTATAAAAAGTATAGAGAATTGCCTTTTGTTTGCCCTCGGTAAAAAGTATATAGTAGATACATTAACATGGGCACGGACACAGCGATACAAACACAGACAGATACAGACACAGAAACACAGACAGACAGATATATACAGACACAGGTACACAGACAGAAACACACAGATATAGACAGATACACAGACACAGACACACAAATTTTGACAGATACACAGAAACACAGACAGAGATAAATACACACATACACACACACACAGACATAGACAAGTATACAGATACAGACACACCGACAGAGACAGACAGACACACAAACATAGACAGACACAGACAATAAGACATAGACAAAGATATAGACACAGACAGATACAGACACAAAAGCACAGTCATAGACAGCAGCTATAAGCACATAAACGTAAGCATAGACCGATATACAAACACAGACACACAGACAAAGACAGACACAGACACACAAACATAAACACAGACAAATTTACCGACTCACCGGCATAGACAGATTCAGACACAGAAACACAGACAATGATACAGATACAAACACAGACATAGACAGATATACAGACATAAGTGTAACACAGACGCAAAAACACAGACATACATACAAAGTGTGACAGATATTTGGGGGAATTTATTAACCAATTCTACCGTAATTAATGCTTAAATACATTAAATGTAGTTGATTACGTTATTAATGGCATCTAACTCCCTTAACTAATTCCTTCACTATTTAACTAACATCACACAATTTTATTCAGGATGAAAATTGGCAAAAATATCCTTAAAATTGGGAACACCATACCTTAAAATTGATAGGTAAATCCCTTAAAAGAGACAACTGTATCATCAAAGCATCCACATCCCTTAAAAGCAGTAGACAAGTTCTTTAAAGGTGACATCTGAATTTCTTAAGATGAATAACTAAACTAAGAAGTAAAATGTCTCCTTTTATATCCCATAAAATACTAAGATAGATAAATAAAAATAAGGGAACACTAAAAAATTCATAAATAATTTTTTCTGTGCTAATTTCCCCCCAAAAAGACTGCGAGAAATAATAAAACAAAATTTTTTGCGAAATTTATTGAAAGGCATAAGATGAAATGAACTTTACAGAATAGAATGATGCTAAACATATTCACACTTAACATTGAATAAAAAACTTGACCTCTCATATTCCTTAACATAAGCCAAAGGTAAAAATAAAACAAAATTGAAGCAGGATCAGGTCACGTCAGAAATATTACCTGACGACAATGATAACAATTTTGCTTGTGATATTAAAACCAATGAAGAGAGTATAATTTATCAACATTACCTTTGTTCTCTTAAGTATTAGATGATTATTTTCACGCGACAGAATTTACGCATACAGAATGACATATACAGGAAATAGGTTTCTGTATGTGATCATTTTAAGTGGAAAATTAAGTTTATCTGGATATAGCACCTAAACCTCTCATTTATTTTCTTAAATGATACTGTGTAATATGTTAACCTTAATGAAATGTTAAAAAAAATCCTTATTTGTTTTTGCTCACAATTCATGTTCTTAACCTAGCAAAGTAACTGTTATAATATTTTACAATCATGCACAGCAAGTATATACACTGACTAAGGAGCTCTCAGGTTGCGTTTACCCACCTTGAAGAAAATATCTCTCCCTCGGTGAACTCATCTGTCAGTCAGGTCAAGAGAGAGCTGAATAAACGCAGCCATGATTATCCTAAGATTGTATACATGACTGACGCCACACTGTATTTTTAAAGAGCCTAAGTTAACAGACACGGCAGCTACCAGATGTAAACAAACCTGTGCTCCATTGTTGTCTCCCTCCACTTGTTTATAGTGAGGTCTGACAGCCTCACAACATACTGCGTTGTCAGGCTGACTAACAGACTGCCAATTATTCACACACCATACTTGGCTTCTTTCGTAGGCTCACGGGCTATCTAATGGACTATTTGTTTATAACATAACAACTTTACACCTATGACATGTTCTCAGGCTCACAACACCTGTCTCACTCTACATGCTAACTGGACGTCTTATCAGCTGTCTGTCCAACACGTCAATCACACCCTATTGTGTTGGTCTTAGATTCCTGAGAGGAACTCGACGCCTGATGACAGGTAGTCGAGGGGCCTGTGCAGGAGCTGGGGTGGTGGTGGATGGCGGGGCTGCAGGTTCAGCAGCCTCAGCAGGATAATCGTAGTAAGCAGGATCAGTGTAATCAGCAGGGTAGTCGTAGGCGGCCTCTTCTATTGGGGTAGGAGGAGGTGGTGGAGCGGTAGCTGTGGGCTTGGACTGGGTTCCGAAACGATGTCTTGTGGGACTAACAGGCCTGATGAAAGGGAAAAGAGAATGACAATTTTTATCTTAACTTTTCATCTATGAATTTTTAGTTTATTTATGGATTTTGTTTCTTCTTTGTCATCATTTACCTTTATACTCCATAAATCATCTCTCCATTTGTCTATTCATGTACGTTACTCTTGTATTTGCTTTTTGGACGATTGTTTAACTATTTCTTGTATATAAGATCATTGTGGTGACGGAAGTAGCATGATTCCGGAAAATATATTCTGACTGTGGGAAAAATACTGCAACCGTGGGAAAACAACTGTGATCGTGGGAGTTACGTCATTAAAATTGATCTATGCCCACAAAGTAATGTAATCTGTCTTTATGTCAGTATTTCCATTCATTTGAAGTAATTTCATATATACTTTCTTTAACTCAATAAAACATATATTGTGGCAATAAATATTCATGTACCTGTATAATCATTTCCATGTTCAGATCCATAAGTGCCAAACTTTACTCATGATCATAAGATAAATTTCATATATACATAGATAACAACATAACCTCATGAAATAGCAATTGTGTGTACTTTTTATATAATGTAACCTGTATATACAAAGTACACACAATTACAGTATATACAGACTAAAGAAAATGCCCCAACATCTGAATTTCAATACTATGATGTCAAATGGTTTATATTATATCAGTGACACTAAGATATAACATTTAAATTAAAACAAAGAGAGAGAAACAGAGAGAGAGAGAGAGTAAGAGAGAGCAGGGGCGGATCCAGGAATATCAGTAGGGATGGGTCCAAGAAGTTATGGGTGGAGGAACATGGCGAGCATAGCGAGCCCACCCAGCTGGGGGTTTTGTGGGTGCTGTAAGCTACCCTACCCTACCCTACCACCCTCCTTCGATTTTTTTTTAAACTGACCAATATAATGGGCATTTTGAAGCCAATTTGAAGCCATGTGCACTTGATATAAGGAGATATTCTGAGGTCAATAGTAATACTGCATTAAGGAAAAGTATTGGAATTTTCTCGTGAAAAGGTGGGGTCCGGATCCCTAACCCCCCTGAATCCGTCCTTGAAGTGGTAGAGTAGAATACTAAGATAGAGGGAGAGAGTGAAAGAGATCAAATCACCACTTTACCTGGGGGGACTCCGTGGACGGCTGGGAGACAATACAGCTGCTTCTCTGTGAGGATAAAGACTCGTATTTAAGAGATGTCCATAAGTCTTCACCTTGGCAATAAGTTTGAACATTAAATGAGTTTAGAAGAGATAATATTTTTTGATAACTTAGAGAGTTCGTTTCTTACTTTACAAAAAATAAATGTAAGAACGAAATTAAATAAGCAAAAAATAAAAAATAAAAATTGCTATAAATTTTTTTAGATTTGGTGACAGGGAGAGTAAATAAAGGGAAATGACATAGTTGTTCTTCTTCAGATATAACATAGTAGCTAATGTAGTATGAGTCTTTGAAGATAAGATTAAATATGGAGTCTGGGAACAAGTTAAGGTAAATACACGCATTTAGCTCTAATCTGTTGTATGAGATGTATGAAAATGGTTTATGTGGGAACACCAGTTAAGGAAATTATGTTTAGGATAGGATACGGTGTGTGTGTGTGTGTGTGTGTGTGTTTATGCTGTGTGTGTGTGTGTGTGTGTGTTTATGTTGTTTCAGTATGTGTCAGTCAGTAAGTCAGCATACTCGTATTTCTCTCAGTAAGTCAGTCAGTCACCGGTCATTCAGTCATCGGGTCTTGTAGGATGGAGTTAACACATATGAAGGGTCAGAGATTCGTGTTTATATAATTATAACACAACAACTGCATTACTTTCCCCACTTAACATAAAACGAAAATAAAAAACTTACGGTCTTGGTTGGCTGACAGGTGGACGGGTGGGAGCTGCAGGGGCGCGGGGGGGAGCAGGGGTGGAGCCTCGGGCCTTGGACGGGCGCCTGGCACCTGTACCAGAGCTCAGGTCGATTCTCTTCTTCAGCTGGGGAACATCGTAGCCGGAGGTGATGGCGGCAGCAAGGATATCTGCACTGACGTGGCCGTTGGTAGTCTCCAAGGTTTTGAAGTAGTTATCAAAGTACTCGACGTAGTAGTTGGAGCTGTGTGGGGGAGAGTGGTCGTTACGTGAGGAGCCATTGGCAGGGGAGGGGGGTACAGTATTACTTCCCAATGAAGACGTAATGTATAAGATAATTTTGTGTATTGTTGTATCTTTATACAAATCTACATACATACGGGTTGTTGTGTCTGGAGTGGGGCATAATGTCCATCTTTCCTACTGTCAGGAAGCACTGGGAAGAGATGCACGAGACAGCTACTTCAGCTCTACAGTCACTTTTCCAGAGTAGAGCATTACCTGTACTTTACTGGAGTGTGGGAGGTGTGTGTCTGCCAGGTGAGGTGTGGAAGTGAAGGGTGGCAGGGGTGTGTCTGCCAGGGCATGTGTGGAAGTGAAGGGTGGCAGGGGTGTGTTTGCCAGGTCATTGTGGTAGTGAAGAGTGGCAGGTGTGTGCCTGCCAGGTCATTGTGGTAGTGATGGGTGGTAGGGGTGTGTCTGCCAGGTCATTGTGGTAGTGAAGGGTGGTAGGTGTGTGCCTGCCAGGTCATTGTGGTAGTGATGGGTGGTAGGGGTGTGTCTGCCAGGTCGTTGTGGTAGTGAAGGGTGGCAGGTGTGTGCCAGCCAGGTCATTGTGGTAGTGAAGGGTGGGAGGGGTGTGCCTGCCAGGTCGTTGTGGTAGTGATGGGTGGTAGGTGTGTGTCTGCCAGGTCATTGTGGTAGTGGGAGGAGGTGTGCCAACAGGTCATTGTGGTAGTGATGGTGGGGGGTGTGTCTGCCAGGTCATTGTGGTAGTGATGGGTGGTAGGTGTGTGTCTGCCAGGTCATTGTGGTAGTGATGGGTGGGAGGTGTGCCTGCCAGGTCGTTGTGGTGATGGGTGGTAGGTGTGTCTGCCAGGTCATTGTGGTAGTGAAGGGTGGGAGGGTGTGCCAGCCAGGTCATTGTGGTAGTGATGGGTGGTAGGTGTGTGTCTGCCAGGGCATTGTGGTAGTGAAGGGTGGTAGGTGTGTGTTGCCAGGTCATTGTGGTAGTGTGAAGGGTGGGAGGGTGTGTCTGCCAGGTCATTGTGGTAGTGAAGGGGGGAGGGGTGTGTCTGCCAGGTCATTGTGGTAATGAAGGTGGAGGGTGTGCCAGCCAGGTCATTGTGGTAGTGATGGGTGGGGGGTGTCTGCCAGGTCATTGTAGTGAAGGGTGGGAGGTGTGTCAGGTCGTGTGTCAGGTCATTGTGGTAGTGAAGGGTGGGAGGTGTGTGCCTGCCAGGTCACTGCCAGGTCACTGTGTAGTTTAAAGGTGGGAGGGGTGTGTTTGCCAGGTCACTGTGGTAGTTTATGGGGTGGTAGGGGTGTGTCTGCCAGGTCATTGTGGTAGTGAAGGGTGGTAGGTGTGTGCCTGCCAGGTCATTGTGGTAGTGATGGGTGGGAGGGGTGTGTCTGCCAGGTCACTGTGGTAGTTTAAAGGTGGGAGGGGTGTGTTTGCCAGGTCACTGTGGTAGTTTAAGGGTGGGAGGGGTGTGTCTGCCAGGTCATTGTGGTAGTGAAGGTCGCCACTCTGTGATAAATGACTCATATGCTGTTGTGATCTCAACACGGGGTGGAGTAATGAGCGGTGTAGCGTAGGGGGTGATAGCCTGGGTTGTCATGGGATCACTAAGTACAGAACTAAGACACTATGGAAAAGGGAATATTGTGAACACAAGATCCACAGAGAGAGCAGCAGGTTGAAACTGAATGTCGTATTACTCTCGTAACATTTAAGGTTTAAGGTAAAGAAAGTTAGGAAATTTATTAATCTATACGAAGTTAAACTAAGATACACAATTCCTAAGGTCTTGCAAGAATAAAGGAAAAGAACTGTCTCAAGACTACCTACCACTCAGGCACGTCAAGAGGTGAGGTACAAGCGGAGATGCTGGAGCTGAAGACTTGGCCGAGATTACAACCATTTCTGCGGGGGCTATTGCCGTTGAGGCACACATAGAAGAACTGGCAGTCGAGGGGATCTGCGTAGCGGGGGTGACTGACGGCTATGTTGTGTGGCACCTTTGGGCAATCGAACTCCAAGAGACCTGTAAGACGAAACACGATATTATCCGAATCAATCTAACCTAACTTAACCTAATTTAACCTAACCTAACTTAACCTAACCATCGTAAACTGAGAATTCATGTGTATTTACTTTCGGCGAGATAAATACCTCTCAATGTCTCGTCTCTTCATGTGTACAGGAAGATGACTTAACCCAGTAATGTACATTGGCTCCACATATACTGTAGCTTCTACGGTACTGTACAAATTATCATTACTTGTATCTATCACGTTTTTTCTAAACTGACCCAAAAATACAAAAATGTCAGAACAAAAAAGTTTCAAAATGTAGCAATTGTGTTTGTTCTTTAATTCTCCTTAAGGTAGGTCTCTAAGTATATAGAGGAGAAAGGATCAAGGAGACAGAGAGACAGGCATATATAAATAGGTAATCAAACAAAGAAATTAAAATAGAAAAATAAGCAAACAAAGAGACAGTGAGACAGATAGATAGACTCTCAGGAAGGCAAACAAAGTTAAATACAAAAAGATAAACAGAAGGGAAGGTAAAAAGAGACAGACGTACAAACAGAAACACACATAAACAAAGCGTAAAGGTATACAAACAGAAACAGACAGAACAGAAATAAAACATCAAACATACAGAGAAAAAAAAACAGAAAGCAGACATTAGTGACAGATAAGAGAACAACACTAACTACACTTACCCTGAGCGGAACAACCAGTTCTATTAGCCGCATCGGGCCACACACAGTTATTGGTTTTCAAGCTAAACACCAGACCTTCAGGACAAGTGACCAGATTACCATCCCCAGCATTACAGAAGTAGAATTTGTCGCACACTGTCGGGTCCGGATGAGGGAAATACCCATTCTTTCGGGGGCACACATCGGATGAGATGGGAGGCTCTGTCGGGTGCAAGGAGAGAGAAAAGTTAAGTTAATCTAAATGGTTTAGTGTGTGGTGTTGTATGTGGTGTGGTTAGTGTGTGTGGTGTATGTGATGTGGTTAGTGTGTGGTGTATGTGGGGTGGTTAGTGTGTTGTGTATGTGGGGGTGGTTAGTGTGTTGTGTATGTGGGGTGGTTAGTGTGTGGTGTATGTGGGGTGGTTAGTGTGTTGTGTATGTGGGGTGGTTAGTGTGTTGTGTATGTGGGGGTATAGTGTGTGTGTGTATGTGGGGGTGGTTAGTGTGTGTGTGTATGTGGTGGGGTGGTTAGTGTGTGGTGTATGTGGGGTGGCTAGTGTGTGTGTGGGGGTGGTTGTGTGGTGTATGTGGGTTAGTGTGTGGTGTATGTGATGTGGTGTGTGTGTGTGTGGTGTATGTGGGGTGGTTAGTGTGTGGTGTATGTGGGGTGGTTAGTGTGTGGTGTATGTGGGGGGTTAGTGTGGTGTATGTGGGGGTGGTTAGTGTGGTGTATGTGGGGTGGTTAGTGTGTGGTGTGGGGTGGTTAGTGTGTGGTGTATGTGTGGGTGTGGTGTGGGGTGGTTAGTGTGTGGTGTATGTGGTGGTGGTTAGTGTGTGGTATGTGGGTGGTTAGTGTGTGGTGTATGTGGGTGGTTAGTGTGTGTGTGTGTGGGTAGTGTGTGTGTAGTGGTGTGTGGTGTATGTGGGGGTGGTTAGTGTGTGGTGTAGTGGTGGTGGTTAGGTGTATGTGGGGTGGTTATGTGTGTGGTGTATGTGGGGTGGTTAGTGTGGTGTGTGGGGTGTGTTGTGTGTATGTGGGGTGGTTAGTGTGTATGTGGGGTGGTTAGTGTGTGGTGTATGTGGGGTGGTTAGTGTGTGGTGTAGTGGGGTGGTTAGTGTGGTGTATGTGGGGTGGTTAGTGTGGTGTATGGGGGTGGTTAGTGTGTGGTGTATGTGGAGTGGTTGTGTGGTGTATGTGGGGGTGGTTATTGTGTGGTGTATGTGTGGTTATGTGGTGTATGTGGTTAGTGTGTGGTGTATGTGGGGTGTGTGGTGTGTGGGGTGGTTAGTGTGTGGTGTGTGTGGGGTGGTTAGTGTGTGGTGTATGTGGGGTGGTTAGTGTGTGGTGTATGTGGGGTGGTTATTGTGTTGTGTATGTGGGGTGGTTATGTTGTGTATGTGGGGTGGTTAAGTGTGTGTGTGTGTGTGTGTGTGTGTGTGTGTGTGTGTGTGTGTGTGTGTGTGGTTAGTGTATGCTGGGTAGTTAGTGTATGTGTTTGTGAAGCGGTTAGTGTTTTATGTGTGTGGGGTGGTTATAGTACAAACGGTAAAAAAAATAGCTATCCACACTTTATATGAAACAATATGACACCATGGACGAAGGTTTTTGATAACCCTACCGAGACAACACGAGTCATATTGACCATTCCGAAATTCATCGGACCCGTCAGACCGAATACAGTACTTTTATTTTTACCGTGTGTACGTGTTGGATCCTAAAGGTTTTGAAATTACGGTCAGTTTGTAATATAAACACAAACACAAACAGGTTAACATGTACAGAAAAACGCATATGGAAACACAAACATGCCACCATAACAACGCTATATATATATATATATATATATATATATATATATATATATATATATATATATATATATCAACACCTCACCCTGCCAGGATTAGAACCCAAGATCTTATGACTGTGACCGGGGAACGTTACCTCTACACCAACAGGACACTTGATAGCAGTTCTAGACTCTGTTATATTTCTAACAAAGCCTGTTCAAGAGCTTATGGCAGTGTAAACTTCTAATGGGGACTACCCGTGCCTCTTAGGTGATCAGAGTAACGTTTTACCAAATCCGGCTTCGAAACACGAGATTCCATATATATTTCATTAGCCCAATAAAGCACGTGGACTTCTACATATAATCAACACCTCACCCTGCCAGGATTCAAACCCACGATCTTATGACTGTGACCGGGGAACGTTACCTCTAGACCACTAGTCTAGGACTACTTTTAAGTGTATATATATATATATATATATATATATATATATATATATATATATATATATATATATATATATATATATATATATATATATACAATACTCACGTAGTTCGGGTCTGCCGCTACAGTCGGCCACGTTGATGTAGTCACACTTCTCGATCTTGGAGTTTAAGTCGACAAAGACCAGACCATCAGCACACAGCTTCTCAGCTATCACATCATCCACACACTCATAGTATTTGTCGCACTGGTAGGCGTCCGCGAAGAACCCATCAGGACTAGGGCAGGCTGCGGCGAATTCCGGCACCAGCTGAACGTCTACATGTGGCCCCTTCAGGTCTTCTGGTGTACGGAAGGGCCTCTGTCCGGAGACTGAAAAGAGGGAGAGGAGCATTTATTTATTTAATTTTATTTTTTTATAGGCACTAGGCCACCCGGGCACAGATCACTGACCCACATCAAGGCCTAGGGGGTGAAAATATAATAATAATAATAATAATAATAATAATAATAATAATAATAATAATAATAATAATAATAATAATAATAATAATAATAATAATAACGATAATATTAATAATAATAATAATAATAACCATAAATAAATACGAAAATGAAAAAAATAGATTAAAAGTGAGAAACGATATATAGTATGTATGTTGTGTTGTCAAAGTAAGAGAAACAATTAAAACCCTGCAATTGTGTGTAAATGAGGCAGAAAGTCAGATCAGCAACCTGGGACTTGTCACAATTTTCGTGATGCTATATGGCAGCAGGGTCTACCATTAGACAACACATTATGCTTCCAATATCTTAGCAGGTGGTAGTACCTCCCTGTTTTTATAGCTGCCTACTACCTACTACCTTAAGCTGCCTACTAGATACATAAATAAAGAGAGAGAGAGAGACTTGGGTACAGGTCCTAAGTATTGCAACATATCAGAAGGAATACCTGCTAGCGACTTTTACATGCCTTCCAGGGACGTCGGTCACCAGGAGCCAGCTGATGACCAACCTCCTCGCACCTCACAGATACACTCGAAGATACAGACAGATGAATACATTTTAGTTTCATTTATCAAAGATTCCTTCAGAACATCAGTACAAGTATGATTTAGAAGCACGGACGTACAGGTGTTATGGCTTTTTCCCATAACAATATCTCACGAGAGGTTCCTTAGGCTAGATGTTAGATAAATATACTGGAATTAATGTGAGAGATTTAATCTTATTTAGAAGAAAATATACACAAGATTTCGTATACAGTAGCATGAGTTATTCGCTAACGCAATTAAACTAATGAAGATACTCTTGTAAACACGCAACAAAGGCACAACTAAACTGAAAGACAGTGAAGTAAAGAGACAGACGTTCAAGTTAACACAGACGTAGAAGCGTAGACAGAAATAATTATGGACACAAACACAAACACACACACACTCACTGGCCATTAAGCATCCATAAAGTGTTTTCCAGATTTTCGTCCCATTAACCTCACCTACGAGGGACCTTCAAATAACTTCCTCTACTTGCTTCACCGCACCTGGCATCGTTCCTTAATTACCCCCACCTTCATAAGACTACCTGGTTCCCTCAACACAGTGCCCCACATTCGCCGAGATGATCTAACTTCCCAGCCTTTTTCCCCCTATCCATGTGGTCTACTATCATGCTATGTATCCCTTTTTTGTTAACCTAATCCATTTTTCTCACCTTTTTCTTCATTTATATTATTATAAACTATTTAGCATTCCCGATCTGTTCTAACTTCCCTGTCTATCTCTTTCTAGCCATGATATTCACAATCCTCTAAACCAATTATCCAATCCACGGTTAATCTATAAAGTCTCCGTCTTCATCCTCGTTGAGTTACCTTGATCTATCCAGGTCCCTTTACTTATCCCTCTGGCCCAACACTATCCCCTCAGTTGCTTTAATTTATCCCAATCAAGCTCCCTACCCTTGTCTAACTGACATAACCTTTCACCCCTAACTTCGTCCCAATCAACAAATCTTTCATTTCTTGTCTACGTGTCTTCTCTTTGTCCTTCCAAGTCGAGACTTCAGTTTACCTCGTGAAGGACAGACTCCTAAAAGTCAAAGGTGAGTGGTGAAAGTGACGGCCACAAGACAAAGGTTGCTGAGGCATGTGATTCCACCGGCAAGAGACAGACATCCTGCATTTTCACAATACTGATTTCTTGGGCTTTCAGAATTCAGGCTACCTGATTCGTCAGGAGTTCAGAGATCTCAGAATGTATGACTTCTTATGTTTCCTGTGTTTCCAGAAATAAGACTTCCTGTTTCCAGTGTCAGACTTCTTGTGCTTCCAGAGTTAAGACTTCCTGTTTCTAGGGTCTGATTTCCCATGTTTCCAAAGGTAAGAATTCCTGTTTCCAGGGTTACACTTCTTATGCTTCCCGACACACTGTTTTAGGGTTCTAAATTCTGATATCTTATGCTTCCTGAGTTTAGCCTTCCTGTTCCCACAAGTCAGTCTTCCTGCATTTCACATACATGCAAAAATAAGGAAGCGCACACACACACACACACAGAATAACTAAAACAAACTTTTTTATTCATAGTGCAAACGTTATGTCTCCCAGGATACACACGGCAGATACTCTAAGCACTGACTCCCAAGATCAACTCAAGGTAAAGGTATCTAGGTGAGTATTAATAGTATTTCCTCAGGTGTCTGTTATGAGGGTTGTTTGCCCGAGGCAGAAGTCAAACCGGTGGGTCCTGTGTCACATGAGTTGCTTAATTTTGTCGTATTTCTTACCGAGGGATTTCCTTTGTGTAGTATCCTTTACTTTACCTTTAATGGCGAGAGTCTTGTCCCTCAACGTCCATAAAAATAGAGCAACAATCTTCCTTGTGCCATACTTCTAACCTTCATGCTTATCCACTTTCTAAGAAACTACAACGTTTATTATATGTGTAAAAAAGTGTATCAAGAGGCCCGGGCAGCAAGGCCCCTCCTCCTCCCTACCTCGCCCAGGGGTTGTATCGACACCAGTGGAGACAACCTTGGTCCCATTACTCCGGCTGTACAGTTACTTGTGGCGATTGGTATTCCCCTTGATAGACTTCCTGCTACCCTTCTGTTTAATTTTGGTACTAACTCTACTTTTTTTCCTTTGATACAATTGCCTGCTTATGCTACCTGTTCGTCTCTTGTTCTGCTGTTTGTTCTACTTCTACTTTCATTTTCTGCCACCCACTCCTTTGATAAACTTGTCCGAATTTGCTGTCTACTTCTCCTTCATTCTCTCTTTTGTGGTTCTTGTATCTATTCTTACCACCATTATTATTATTATTATTCCTTTTATATCGTCTACAACGGCTTTCACTACTACTACTTCTCCTACGGCTGCGTCTCCTTCTGCTACTTCTACTAGTCTTTGCCTTCCTGCTCGTTGCTTCCTGCTGTCCTCTGGCGCCGTTACCTGCTGTTAACGTCCATCTCATTAATTAAGACGAGGTCACCTAATCTAATGGTCTAACTTGGTGGACTTCAAGAGTTTTATAAAAGCTATTTGTAACGGATTAGTTCTTATAATATTTTTTGGCCATTCAAAGTTTATCATTATGTAATATTTTTCACGAATGATTTTATTGGTATTATTATTGGGGATTTCTTCTTCTTCTTCTTCTTCTTCTTCTTCTTCTTCTTCTTCTTCTTCTTCTTCTTCTTCTTCTTCTTCTTCTTCTTCTTATTATTATTATTATTATTATTATTATTATTATTATCACTATCATCCTTATTTTCATCACGTCCCTAAACGATTTCGCATTATAAACTCACCCAGTATCCGGTGCTTCACGAAACCGATAAACCGATAAAGTTTACAGATTGTTTTGAAACGCTCGACAGGGCCAGTGATTCGTGCAAGTTAGTGGATGGGTTCGATAATATACATGATGGTACTAAAATAAGTGATCTGGCATTCATATTTAATTTACTTTACCTTGATTTACTTTACTTGAATTGAATTTACTTTCTCTTCGCCACTGATTAGTTTTTTTTTAGCCGTAAGTGACATAAATTTGAGAGGAAATATTCAAGTTTGGTTACGACCGCTTGTAGGCTTCTGGGTATCTATCACATGTTCGGCTTTAGGCTTCTTGGCTTAGTCGTCGTTGCTGTCAATATTACTAACATTATTGATGATAGTGTATGTTATTAGTTTTTTATATTTTAGACAAGTAAATAAAGAGATATACGAGCCTAGGATAATAATTCCGGAACGTAATATGGTAGTGAAAGTAGACGAAATGTAATGAACAAGCCGTCAAAAGCCACAGTTACAATCACCAGCCACTGACTCCGAGTCTCGCTCAGTGAAAGTGGTTCCAGAGTTGAATATCTACTGCATGTCATCACTTTCTCACGCTACAGCTGGATGAGAGAGAGAGAGAGAGAGAGAGAGAGAGGTGTCGTGGGTGTCAGAGTAAGAGGTATCGGGTGGGGGGTGTAAAATTTAGAGGTGTGGGAGACGGGAGGGGAGATCAGAGTACCGACGAGTGACCTATAATCACAGGAGTTCATAAGGTCATCGGGTTATCTCGTTCACCTCCCTCACTCTATTCCGTAAGAGTTGTCCGTCTGTACGACTTACTGTCAGCCTCTCTTTCTGTCTTACTATCTATCACTTTACCTGTCTGTCATACTGTCTGTCTCTCTGTCTCTCCTTTACACATCCTCTAAACTGGAAGTCGCTCTTGTAGACAAACAAAGCAAATAAATCATTTTCTTCAAATTTATCGCCCAATTTCCCCCATCACAATAATAGAAGAGATTCCTGAGCCGGTACATTATAACCACCTCGATAATAACAGTTAACTCAGTGTCTTATGCGGTGAAGAGTATGTTGTTAGTCGAACAATTTGGCAGTTTAGACTTGATCCTTATTATTATTGTTAAACTAAAGGCATTTCTTCCGCTGTTATTTTGAAGTCTGGTTAGTTCTGTACGGTCGGGGTTTTTTTTCTGGCTGTCTCTCTATCAATTCTGGGGTTCTTCAGGGTTCTGTACTAACTCCACTTTGTTTTAATGTCACTCTCATGATCTTCTCTCGGTGACAAACAACCCAGTTCATTATTATACAAAGCAATTCAACCATCAGTAGATTTTCTTATGAGATAAAATTTACAGCATCAGACAATAAATATCCTCTTCTATGCAGAGTAATCTTGCACTAGTAGCTAAGTGAGACACTGTACCTTCACCATAGTTTCCTTCAACGCCACTACACAGTAATTAGTATAGCAGACGAATCTTTGTAGACTTCTATAATAGAACTGGAAAACATGATCATTCCATCAACATTCAGTATAACAGCTTCGGGTCTCTTCCTCTCTTCAGA